TTTAAATACCCTCTCGTACGAAACGGCGAGGCCAGCTTTCTCCGGGCTTCGCCGAAAACCTCCCATCTCGGGAAACGCTGTAGAGCGCTAGGCAAAGGAAGAGAAAAAACCAACAGCAAAGACTTGCAGGTGAAAGCTGCCTGCAGGATGAGCTATGCTCAGGCCTTGGCGAGGGCGGGTGGCCCGTTGCTCACAGCCCCGGATGGGAGCAGCTGCTGGCAACGCTGTTCGCCTTTGCTGCTTCTTCGTTTCCCTAGTATATTACTTCTTCCAGCGTCCATCACCTGCGTGTTGGGTGTGCTCTAGCAGCATGGAGAGTTTCCGTCGCTGGGACTCTCTCTGCTTCGCCGTTTCAGCATTGCACCTTCCAGCTCGATTTTGCTGCTCCTCAGGGCAACGAAAGACGAGGGTGGATTAGCCAACACCTGGACCTAATGAGAGAAACTCCCTGGTGAGATTTTAGCCTGCATGTTCAGCGCTCTAACGAAATGTTGGCTTCTCCCTGATTTGAATGGCCAGATCCTTAAGAAAGAAAAAAAAAAAAAAAGCCTTTTCCTACTCCCCTTGGTTAAGATGGCAAATTTAACAGCTAGATTCATCAGCAGTGGGTACTGCATGCTGAATGGCAGAAGTCTGCTTGCACATCACCTTTATAAAGAGGGTCCTCTTCCTCTGAGCTTCCCTTGTGTTTAGCTGTGCTCCACTGCAAGGAGTTGCAGGCAGTGGGTCTCCACAATCTGCGGCCTGAGGAGGCCTGCAGCGCTGGCTGAGCGTGCTTTGGCAGCAGATGGGGCTTCATCTGCAAACTGAGCACGGGCTGATTTGTCACTATAAAATTTGGCAGCTGTGGAAGCCTCATCATGCATCGGGGCACCCCCCCTCCCCCCATCTTTTTAATGTAGATGTAAAGAATTAAAAACCCCCAAAACTTTAGAAATAAATGTCAACATTATTGACTGAGTGCATAGGTGGTGAATATCGTACTCCTGCCAGCCTGTGAATAGTGCCAAGTTTGGAAAAGAGGGCAGCCACTGGTGACCTTTTGGTTTTCATGGTGTTTGTTTTTGTGTATAGTCTTCAGTTTATATCCTGTGCCTTCCTCATTTAATTCATTTAGAGCATCTATGCTTTCAGTGCTGTCAGCTTCAGAGACGACTCTGGTGTCAAGTTTGGCCTGTAGCAGTGATGAATGACTGATAACGGTAAAACTATTTGGCTACTGAACTTTTTGAAGTGTTTGGGCCATAGACAACTATTTTTTTAAAAAGGTATTTCCGCCACCTCGTGGCCATCTCCGTGCACTCATTTAAACTCAAGAAGCCCTGGGTCTAAACTAGGTGTTCTGAATTGAGGACGTAGGCCACGTTCAGCAACTTGATTTTGCAGGAGCAATGAGCAGCTCTCACTGGGTTCAGGGGTGGAATCTGATGTCCAAAGGTGTGGCCACAATGATTTGTGTTTTCAAACTTTTTTTTCAACCTGCCACACAAAAATTTTAATCAAATATTGTAATTGGCAGGTCATACTATTAAAGTTGGACTGGTTCATGCAGTTATATGCAGTAAATAAAATTTTAGTCCATTGCAAGGTGAATGTAACAAATCAACAAAAGGGTTGAAGGAAATTGTCTTACTATCATGCTCCTAGAGATTCCGAACTTCCACTGCACTCTCCTAAGCCACAACTCCTCTTCCTTATCAACAACAAGTGGAGGTGGCAAAACAAAATTTTTATGCAGTAATGTGACCTGTAAGTTTTATTTGCCTGCCCTGGCAAAAGAACAACCAAGCAAAAACAGAGAATTGTGGTAGTCTCCCCAAGGCATTCACCTGGTCCTGTGGACTCTGCTCACACGAGGCTGCAGGCCTGTATAGCTTTCTGCAGGGCTCTAGACTACGTTCATGTGTGATGAGAGGTGGAACTGGCATTTTCATGCCAGCTACTTGTGCTTGCACATGGCATCTGGGAAGAGGGAAATAAATTCTGCAGCGTAACCCCACCCTCTCCTTCCAAGCTTTCTTGGGCCACTCTTTCTCTCATCAAGCTACAAAAAAATCTCTACTACTGACTCTTACTTCCAACTTTTCCAGTATGGATGGAGAAGAACCAGGCAAAAAAAAAAAACCCTTGCAAAACTAAGAGCACTCATGTCTGCTTTTGGGGGAGTAAGACAAGCACCAAGAGGAACGAAGTTCTACTGTGTTCTCTTCTGAAGACCTTACTCTTCAGATGTAGTGCACTAGGTGTCCTCTCTTCAAGGTGGGCCAGGAGGGAAATACTTACCCTAGGCATCTCCAGTAAAACTCCTGGACATCTGATGCCCTGTAGGAGCCAAAACATACCCAATTTACTCATTTATTTACTCATTTATCAGTGTGCATGTCTCAGAGCCCAGGCCTGTATGTGTCTTCCTCATCCAGTCATCTACCAGCATGCGCGCTCCAAATATTTATCTTTTCTTGCAGTCATATTATCACTTTTGGGGGGATATTTCTACATCTTTTAACTCCTCCATTTCATCTTGTTTCATTTGCTTTGTCTCAAGCCCACCAGTATTGTCACGACTAGCGCAATACTATGTGTAGATGTGAGGCAGATTAATATGGCAAAGCACAACACTGACTATGGTGTGAAAAGTTTAGCCATGTATGCCACGTGGAATATTACAACAGCAACACGTCATTAAGCGTACAACTACTAGTGACATAATCAATCATGGATACATCTCATTGTGCTCTCGCAGCATTCTCCTGGAGGATATGACAAGCTGTTCTCCCCCTCCACCAAAGCAGTCAGGCTGGAGGTGAAGCTACCTCAGCTGGAAGAAACCAGTAGGAACCTAGTAGCTTGGTCTAATGTAACGGAGTCTATGAAGAGCATTGTCTAGTATTTCCTGCTGCTCCCGCTCGCGGGAAGAAAGGAGAGATTGGGACATTACTAAATATAAATAGCAGGGCGCTCTGTCACATTAAATACTTTACATGTTCACACCCTTGGCTGTACACAGCATGCAGGATGTTGGGGGCTTTTTTATTTTCCCCATGACCGTGTGTTCCCCAAGTGAAACTGTATATCTTGCTTTTGTAGAGCGGAGAGTCCTGACGAACATGGTTACAGATCACATATACTGGATAAAGAGGGACTATTATACATAGTGGGAAAGAGAAATAATGTACATAAGTGTAAAAGCAGAGTATAGTGGAATTGCCTAATTGCCTCCCACAGTCAGCTGAGTTGCAGTCCGGCAGGAAAAGATTACAGAGGCAAGGCAGCATGCAGAGTTCTGCTTAAACCCCACCAGAGCCCATCTTCACTTGTCCTTCCAAGATGTCCTGATTTCAATAAAGCAAATGCAGTTTCAGTTCCAGGGTCCCCAGACACAGGCTTCAGACAGTCCTTCCTCTGGAGGCATGTGTGTTACCCTACCAGCACTAACAATAAACTGTGGTGGGGCTGTGTCACAGATGTGTATCTTTGTTGTCTTTCCCAATCAGAAGCAAGAGGTGAGCAAGTTCCTCTTGGGGACTGGTGTGGTTTTCATGGTCTTCTTTCGTTAGGAATGTACCGTGTTCTCTGTGACAGAGCCACTTCCAGTGCCTATGAAATTTCGAGAGTTAGCCGATGGCAGGGAAAGCTCCTCCTCGGGGCCTGGTACTTCTTCTTTTGTGTCTCCCACCACTGACTCCTGTGAGCTGGACTCCGGGCTGGAAGCTGCCCGAAAGCTGGGCTCTGCGCTGAGGGACTCGCTGTTCTGCAGGGGCAGCAGGGCCCGGTGCCGCATCAGGCTATCGTCGCTGTTCTGCGCTTCCAGGGAGTTCCTGCGCTTCGTGGTCCTGTTGGCCACGGCATTCTTCTGTGGCTCCTCGAAGCTTAGCGACAGGGTGACCGTGCCGCTCCCGAAGCTGACTTTTTGCTTACACCCACGCTGCTGCTGGCGCTGCCGCTCTGCGGAGGCCGGTAGAGGGAAAGGGTCTTCATGGTTGCTCTTGCTGCTGATGGAGGAGGAAGGGGTGGAGCCAGTAGAGCCCCCCAGGCTGTTGGAGCGCTTGCGTGACACATTGCTCCGTCTCAGTGTGGCCCTGGCGGCCACTTTGAAAGCATGGGCGGCTGTACTGCAGCGCACCTCTTCTATTGTGTTGCGGGAAGGCTTGAAGAGGATGATGTAGACTTTGTTGAAGAAGATGCAGGCCAGGAGCCCAAAGCTGGCAGCCAATATCGCAATCACCTCCACAGCAGAGACAAACTTGCCGTATGTGCTGGCGTAAGCAGGGATGAAGGAGATCCAGACGATGAAGAAGATCAGCATGCTGAAGGTGATGAACTTGGCCTCGTTGAAGTTCTCAGGTAGCTTTCGAGACTTGAAGGCAAAGAAAAAGCAGATGGCTGCCAGGAGGCAGGTGTAGCCAATGAGGAAGCCAAGGGCCATCAGAGAGCCTTCATGGCAGGTAATGAAGATAATTTCATCCTCTAGGTCATGGTTCCGGTAACTGGATGGGGGCGCCGTGTACAGCCAAATCACACAGATGACAATCTGCACAAATGTGCACAAGAAGACCAGGAGGAACTGGAGATTGAGCCCCCACCACTTGCGGTGGAGGCTCGTGGGGATCTTTGCCTCAAAGACAAGCAGGACACGGTTGGTTTTCACCAGGATGCAGGAGATGCAGAGGACAAAGCTGATGCCGAAGGCTGGCTGCCGCAGACGGCAAGTCCAGTCCTGGGGTTCACCAATGAAGAACAACGAGCTGGAAAAGCAGCACAGCAAGGAGAAGAGGAGGAGGTAGGACAGCTCACGATTCGTGGCCTTGACAATGGGAGTATTGCGAAATTTGGTGAAAACACCCAGGACAAAAGAAGTCAGGAAAATTCCTAGCACAGCGAAGAGAGTCAGGGCGATCCCAAAGGGCTCTGTCCAGGAGAGGAACTCTATCTGCTTGGGGATGCAGGATGTATGGTTCTCATTGGACCAGTAATCCTCAGGGCATTTGTCACAAGCACTTGCATCTGAAAAGTAAGTGACAGGGAGAGAGGATGTTTGTTAGAATGAGAGGTCGAAATGAGGGATGAGATAAATGGGGGCTGCACACAAGCCTTCATCTTAAATACAGAGGGTGTTTCCTTCTGGTGCCTGTGGGTTCCCAGTATCAGATACTGGCCTCTCAGATCTAGGAGTGCGTTACCATGAAACAACCAGTCCCCACGGTCTACGTAGCAAAACACAAAAGACATTTAATGCCAGCTTAAAAAAAGTCCTTCCCCTGCACTCTGGCTTTTCGGATCAATTTCTTGGCAAAACTTTGCATGTTTGATTACTATCAGCTATTACACAGGCTCTGTCCCTTGCTGTTTTTTGTTCCTTCATTTTTATCATCTACTTCTCTCAGTCTTCATACCTCTCACACTTCCATCATCATTTGAAACATCCTGCCTGTCTCTGTTACAGGGAAAATTAAAAATGTGCTTGTGTCCTTAAGTGCTTTGGGAGCTTATTTCATACTCCAAAGATGTGAATCTTAGAAGTGTTTAAATTGTTCATCCCTGGAAAGCAGGCAATGCCCTTGACTCCAACCATACTCTCATTTCAATTAGGAACATTACGGGAAGACGTGTCTTAACAATATTGCTCTCCCTACACCCAGCAAAGCCTACCGCTGACACTTGCAGAGGGGAATTTGATGCCTCCATCTCTTTCCTCTACAGGAAACTAGTTAGAGCCTATTGGGCTGGAAATATCTGTCTTCTTTGGCTGCCACGATCAAAAGGTGAGAACCTGCACCTACTGCACATCCTCTCTAACCGAAACAGATCGTGTGCTCCAGTGGTGAGGGTCATGGCTCCCTTGATGGTGGTGGAAAGAGGCTGAGAGCAGTATTTATGGGAAGGTTACTGGCTAATGAAGGCAGAGTATCCCAAGCTCTCATTCTGGAGAGGTCTTTGGAAGAAGCATCTGTCATCAGACATGACGCTGCTCTCCCAATGCCTGGTTGTCTCACTGTTCATGTCAAAAATTTGCACTAGGTGTAAAAGTGCAGTCAGAAGCTCCTATCACCACAAGTCTTTCATTTACTTTCATGCAGTCATTTTTATTTTTGAGCCTTTCACCTAGAAGGCTATTGCAAACTACATGCAAGATAGCAGAGCTAACTTCATATTACCAGGAAATACACCCACCTCTGCCACAGAAGGGGGTAGCTATTATGCACTGCATCCTAAAAAAGTGGTTTCACTGTTGTCTAGAGCTGACTAGAGACCATGCTAATCCAAATCCCCCTCCTCCTCTGAGGCTGCCCATTCCTGCCCCACATTTGTGTCAGTACTAGTGCTCATGCAACTTCTTGTTCCAGTTGGAGGCTAAACCTGCCAAAAATTAGTTTTGTTTTCAGGCAGACCAGAGCCCTGATCCAACTCGTTCTATGGTACACAAGTACCACCATTGCTACTGGACAAAAGATGGGAACAAACAGCTGGGAGAGGGCTGGAGAGATTGTCTCCTTTGGTAGCATCGCAGTCTCAGCTTGATGAGGCTGACTGTAAAACAGCAGAATGCAGTCTCCTGCACCCTCCTACCCCAAATTTCGCCAGCACACCAGTGCCAGCTCCCAAAATCTTGTGAAAAGCATCAAAAGACCCCTATTATAAATTACCAGAATTGCTGCTATCTAATTCAAAAATGCTACCCCAAGCACCTTGTAGTACTATATATTCTTCTTAAAAAAATTATCATTTCTGTCTGATAGGATGAAAATCAGATCCTCTCAAAGAGGAACAACTATGAAAGTCTTGCATTCAGCTTACTGAGGTTTTCACCTCAAGTAAGATCTGCAGCATGTGCCGGGACCAGTGTGAGGTGAGGGTGTGAGGAGATCCTGACCATTCAGCAGTGCAGAGGAGCCTGCTGTTCTGCAAGAATTTACTTGCCTTTGTTAATTTGGAGATGCCCGACACTAAGGAAGCACTAATGGTGTTGGAAATTCAGAATTTTGTATCCATCTCTAAAACTGAGGTGTCCCTCCACTGCAGAACCTGACTGGTTTGATTTGGGCTCCCACTGAAGCCAACTAAAAAGATGTCCATGGGTGTTTGATATGACCTAGAGATTCTGGTTGCTTGTAGTGTCCTTATCCAAGAGAAGCTGTGGTTGGTGACCCCATAAAGGGAAGTACTCCTCTCTGCTTGTGAATTCAGAGATGGAGTGGGACTTTATTTCTTCATAAAGCATGAAATAAAACCCTGACAACATGAGGAAAAGATGGAGGCAGACAGATAACTACAGAGTTTAGGATCCGGGTAGGGATCTCCTTCCTCCACATTTTTGTAACAAAAGCTATTGCTACAGTGCAATGGAATTTTCTTGTGGCTGCATGAGAGCCTTCCTACATGCAAATCCTTTTCAATTTCTCTGCCTTTTCCTAATTCAGAGCCGCAGTGACAAGCAGACTTAGCAGAAGACAGGACCTGAGGACCATGGGACTCAACTTTCATATATGCTTTTCAGAGAAAGTCCCTCCAGGCTTTCTGTGAAGCTCCCTGGCAGAGCAGGGCACAGCAAAAGGGGTCATTTATACCGTCACTGCCTGTCCTGTGCCTGTTCTTTGGAGGAGTGGGGCACCTGTTTGGACTGTGACTTTGGCAACTTTGGTCAAATTAATAACTCCACTAACATGGAGTTGGTAAAAGATTCCCAAGAAGAGGATCTGGCCCACCTTCGTGCAGGTGTCTGTGCGGGCTGTTTTGTGGGACTGTAGCTCAGCACTGCAGAGAAGCAACCTTAGCACAATTGGTGATGCCCATGAGAGGCCTCACACAGTCCTCTGCAAAAGCGCAGACCCCCAGAGAGGGTCTGTGGGTATTACCTGTTTCATCACTGTACTCCCCATCAGGGCAGTCCACGCACTCGAAGCAGCAGGTGGGCTCTCCCTCAATAATGCCCTTCCTGGTGCCTGGGAGACAGTCCCTGCTGCAGTTAGAGAAAGGCACCTGCAAGAAAAGAGCCCAAGGACAGTTAATGGCGGTGGTGGCCCATCTGGAGCCTCCTTACAGAAGGACCTTGTGCTTACTCTAAGGGTGTTATTGCTTGATTGACATGCTAGAGTGACAGCCTCACAGACTCACCTCTTCTTTCCACAGAAAAGACGCATCTTGCACATTAGACTTTCCCTAGCCCACTGCAGTGATATTCTCCATGCATTCGAAGGAATCGCATCAAGGGATGGTAGGGGAGATCAGCAGATCTCTGTAATCTCTACTGTGTTGTGGGCACTGGGAACTGATATGTGACCCATGATACACATACTATAAAACAGTCATCAGGTGATTAAAAAAAAAAAAAAGAAAATCAATCTCTACTGGCACTAATTCGAATCAGCCTCGAAAGTGAAGTGTCGTGTCTACTGGCCCCCAATTCATTCTCTCTCCCATGTATTGCATATTAGCTAGTAATGATTTATGGGAATTAAAACAGGTCCTTAAAGCCCACTTCCAGCCTCTTCTCCCGAAGACCCCCTCAAACCCAGAAGCAACAAAGTGAATTAACTAAATAACAAGAACTTTTCCTGGTTTTAGAATTCTGATCATCTAAAGGTGCAAATCAACACTTGTATGCAGATCCAGAAAAAGGAGTGTACACCCACATGGGGTACACCTTAGGTTTTCCATGTTTAAATCCATGGAAGGGATCTATAAAGCCCCCACCTAACTGCTTGTGTTCCTAAGTTTTAATCAGAAAGATTACTCAGGCTTCCAAACTTCTGCTACTGCAAATGACTATGTGTGTTGGCTGTTGGCTGTGCATTTATGCTGCGTGTTAGCTCACCTGGGCATGCTCATGACCTGGCAGCGAGTAGTCCAACAGGCATGCTTAGTGCATGCCTACAGACACTGACAACAAGAAGTTCAGCACAACTTGAAGTCAGGGTCTCTTACGCAAAGGCACCCTAAGCTTAAGCTCACCTTTTCCCAAATAAATTAAGGAAATGACACAGAATATGACTTTCTCAGCTCAGGGGAGTTAAACCCACATTCTTTATTGCCAGTAAAGTGCTCTGATCCCTAAGCAGCTAAGGGCTGCTCTGGTTGGAAGCCTCCATTCACCTTACTGAAGGATTGCCACTATGTGGAAAGGAAAGGGTCTCCATCTCCTCCTTCCTCATCCCTCGCAGAAGGATTTGAACCTGTTTACTTCCTCACTTGTCCTGTTGCCTTGCCCAAGCGCTGCTAATCTGCTGATCTCCAGGAAGCTCCTGTGTGGATGTAGTTAGTCCAGGGTATGGTTTGGAAATTGCTTGTGTCCAGGCACTGACCTTAGCCACAAGGTAAGCAAGCCCTCAGGTACAGTTAGTGGCAACACCGAGGTGGAGATGCCTGTCTTATGGCTCATGTATTTGCCTGCAGCTGAGTGCAGTCACCACTGCCTATCACTCTGAAGTGTACCTGCAGCACGGTTTGCGAATACTAGTTCTAAGCTGTTAATCACTGACTGATTAATTAATTGGACAGAGGCATATCCAGGGCAAATTCCTGCAAGCTCCCCACTTGAAGCACTCTTTGCAGCAAACCATTAATAACTATTCCTTGGGACAGCAAGTTGGGCATCCATCAGGAGGAGTTCATCACTCTAGACCACCTTTCCCTAGACTGCCACTGAAGACATTGTCTGGGACTGAATCCTGAAGGCCTGACTGAAGTAATGCACTGCTTCCCATTTATCTACTAAGCTGATTATCTTGCCAACGAGGAAAATTAAATTGGTTTGATGTGATTTGCTCTTGACAAATTCATGTTGGCTCTTTCTTATCAGTTTATTAGCCTCTAAGTGTTTATAAACTGTTTTATAATTTTTTATCACATCTTTTTGGTTACTGAAGCTAGCCTTAATTGTGTGTAATTCCCTTGGCTCTCCAATGTCTCCTTTAAAAAATAGGTATTACGATTACCCTCTCTAATCCTTTGAGACATCATCCATTCTCTACACTTCTCAAAGATAAATTGCTAGTACTTCTGAGACTGCTTTGGCTGACTCTGTAAGTATTCTGTGGGAAATTTCATCAAGTTCTGCCAAAATGAATATATCTGTCTTGCCTACTCTTTAACTTGTTCTTTTGCAAGTCTGGCCAATACTACAGTTCCCTTGTTAAAATTAACTACATTTCATCTGTTTTGATGAGGACTGGGGCACAGAAGGCTTCAGTGAGTAGAGTACTGGCTGCTCTCTGTGAACAGGGACTTTTATCTGGAAGAAATTCAAACTCTATAAATTGAAAAAAAGCTACAGTAGACATAGAGATCACAATCCCTTTAACTGGCACACAATTTGCATGCCTTGGCATGACACTCAGCAATGTACAGCCATGTTTATAATAGTTTAGGACAGAGAATGAAGATAAATATTGCGCTGTTAGAGGAATTTACACCAAGAGAATGTAATTACTCTGTATAAGCGAAAAAAAGGGAGCTAACATCCTAACTTTTGGAAGAGGCGTCAATGGCATTTGCAATGATCAGAAGGGGTTGAGTATCACGTGCTTTTAACTCCACTTATAGTTAAGGCGCA